CGAAAAAATTCCTCTATGGATAGATTGTAAGAAGCCATATTTCTTTAACGCGATTCACAGTTAATGTTGCAAGGGCTACATAAATTAAAATAATTCATTCAAATCGCATGGCCTGGCTCAGAAGTAAACATAGGTGCTCATTTAATGAATGGACGGACATAGTGAGCCGCTTCCGATGGGCAAAAAATTATCCTCCTCACTATTCATTTGGCAGAGTTAGTGCCCGACCTGGTTTTCCTGTGTTGGTTTAATAGAGATTTGGACGAACTTTGGTTCTGCAACCCCACTTTCCTGATGCCGTACGGTTGACTTACTAAAAGTTTTACTTAACATACCTAACTTAGCCATTCGCTGAATAAGAAAATGAAAGATAGTACAAGCAGAGCTTAAAGCACACCCAGGAAAGCGAGTGAAGGTGGCGTGTACACACCCCCTTCCACGATACAGTCATTAGCAGGATTAGGAGGATATGGGAGGACGTGAACAATCACACTTGGAATACCCACTGAGGGTACCACGTGGTGTCACCCTCACCTCTTCTGCTTCCTATTTCCGATATTTAACTCGCGTTAAAAATTCTTCCGCTGACTTCACTGTCCACTCCGAGATCTTGATAAGGAGTCGAAGTAACTGGTACAGCCACTTTGACAGTCCACATTTCGGGATGCCATGTAAGGAGACGATTTGGCCTAGGGGTACTCCTGTCTTATGTACAGTAGGTGGGCCAACTCACGAAATGTCAACCGAAATTCCAAAATGTGTTTTCATTTCGAAAAGGTTAATTAAATAGTGTCGTAAAACAATTAATCTTGCAGCATAATTCTATAATTCAGATACATCGGGATACTGGCTTTCGAAACAACCTCTTTCCGACGGCATACAAAAGCCACACCCTGAAAAAATGACTACTTAAGTAGCATGTATTTTTCTCATTGACCTTCGGCGTCCTTAAAAACTCAATTATATTTCATAGACAGCATGCATACAAATATTCTTTCTTTTGCTCTTTTGGTAGTACATTACGTCTTCTTTCAATTTTATACTCAAAAGAAGAGTATAATTCGGTTTTAAAAAAGTTTCTAATTGCAAGATTTTTTAATACCGTGAAATGACCGTTCACAAAACGTCCCGTCTCTGCGTTTACTAATGTGGCTTGTAAAGTTAACAATAGGGCACAAATCCACTGCTAAATTTTATGAACTCCATATGGTCTTCTCTTAATACCGTAGAGAAAGTCATGGTTTTCTGTCCGCGGAAAATATACGACTTGTAGTTTGGAAACCCTGAATGCAAGCGCGACGGCAGATCGGGATTCAAAATTATTCAGAAATTAGAAAAGTTTCTGTAAACTGAATTATACTCTACTTTTGAGTATAAAATTGGGAGAAGACGCAATATGCGACCGAACGAACAAAAGAAAGAATATTTTATGCACGCTTTCTATGGAATATAATGGAATTTTTACAGGCATCGAAAATCAATGAGAAAAATACATGATACTTAGGTAGTCATTTTTTGCGGAGTATCGTCTTTGCATGCAGTCGATAAGAAGTTCGCTCGAAAGCCGGAATCTTGAGGTAACCGAATTGTTATAAAATTATGCTGCATGATGATTGGTTTTAAAACCTTAATTAATCTTTTCGGAATGTGAACGCCTTTGGAATTTCGGTTGACATTTCATGAGTTAGCCCACCTACTGTACTTCCGGCAGGATTTTTAAGCATGCCACACCTATACCGGAGTATTTTGCGGTCAGTGCATTCCTTCTCATGAGTACAATCCCTTTCCTTAACTTGCTTATCATCTTGTTTATGCCTTTCGGAATCGCTGGCAGCCGAGGGCTCATGATATTCTTTTTCCGTTAAGAGGTTCTCCAGTTTAGTTTCTCATTTGGCCATATCCATGGCGATCGTCGAGCGCCGCTTTTTCGACGGGCAGTGTGATGATATTCTTCATCTTTTGTATTACTGGGAGTTATCCACGTTCTGGTCCGGAAAATGTCATCTGGAGTTAGCCATCATCAGTCAGAAATGGTTATTCTGGTCCCCACTGTATTTGTCGGTACTCCATTATCTGCACGTACTGCTAGTCGCTATGCGACTAACTGCGAGGGCTCTACAATGATCCCCACGGCACGACGAGACAAGCATGTTTCGTAACTTGATCGGAGGGCGTCACTTCATCATAGTTAATATTCCCTATCGCAACCAATATGACAACGAGCGTCCGACTCAGTAACCAAAGATCGCGGGTTGGAATCCCAGGTGATTCACGCTTGGGGCTGAGTATGATTGGCTGAGGACGGCCAGTTAGTCAGAAATGACCAGGAGTACCCCCGGGACCATCGTCTCCTTACATGAAACCCCGGAATATGGGCTGTCAAATTGGCTGTACTAGTGACTTCGTTTCCGTATCAAGTCTTCGGAGTGGACAGTGAATTCAGCTGAGGAGTTTTTAACGCAAGTTCAGTATCGGAAATTGGAAGCAAAAGAGGCAATGGTGACATTTTACCTGGTTACGCTGTTCAGCCCTAACCCTCCCGGCCTGCCCGTTGACACTGCCAGCGGCCTTCTCAGGGAAAAATATGGTGGGACCGATCAACAACTCAACCGAGTACGCATCATCGGGCTCCTAAAACGGTGTCTTAAGACTTTTTTCACAGTTGTCTACTGTACGAGCAAAAGAGGAGTAACCTGATGGACTCCGCTCTGTCTAGACTAATGGCCGAGGCTATATTACAGATGCTCGAGCAGATGGCCTTTGGATCGCATCCCCCGAAATTCTGGGCCAGATTTGTTGACGATACATTCGTCATAATAACAAGCCGCAACATGCAGGCTTTCAAAACCCTGTTAAATTTAATCTTCCCCAACACAGTTTGCCATGGAACAAGAGGTCAACAATCATTTACCCCTCCTCGACGTACAGGTTACAAAACTGGCAGACGGGAAGATAAGGAAGGCAGTCTACCTTAAGGTAACTATCACGAAGCGCGTCCCTTACTTCGGAAACAACGAAACCGTCGGTCAAAAACTCAGTTGTGCCAAAACTCTCTTCCAACGCGCATTCACACTGTTGTGGCGGCGAAAGGAGGAAGGGGGAGATGAGGCGCATACGTCACCTATCAAAAGCCAGCGGCTATCTGAAGTCCTTCATACGCTAGTTTCTCAGGAAGCTCCGCTCTGGGCAATAATTGGGGAAGAGCCAAAGTCTGGCTCTCGACCCCCTGTGCGAATAACGTTTCAGATGCGACGGTATAACAAAATCCTGTGATCTTCGTTGATATTTTAGTCTTTGCAGACCATGAGTCATCCACTAGGATTCCGTACGTACAAGAAAACATGATCCAACTTTCCAGTTTCAGTCTCAGTTTTCGTTTATTTGAGGGAAACATAGGTTTTGGGTCTTTGAACTCCCTATTTGTCACACTAAAGCGAACTATATCAAAGATTGGAAAGTGGAAACATCAAACAACTACAGAACTTTTTTTCAGACTGGTAAACAAATAGCTGGACACTGAGCGTCCAAGGATTTATGAGAATTGAGATTTCATCATGTGTTGCCCAGTACGATGTAGGGTTCACTGCCGCCCGCGTTCCTGGTACAGTGGTTGATGATGTACACGGTAAGAATAAATAAATATCTGGGCAATCCTTTAATGTACTGGACGAGTTCAACAGCGAAATTCTTAACATCGCTTCTGTAAACCTGCCTCAAATGGTCTAACAGTAAGAAACGGAGTGGAACTCTCGTGTTCTAAATTCTTATATCGTGTCTACTTATTCAATTTAGGTAGCTTAATATGCATCATTAACAACCTACGTGCTAGAGTTGAAGTTAGGTATGGGATTAGAATTAGGGTTAGGAGTTGTGTAAGATTTAAGGTTTGGCTTAGGGTACAGTTTAGAGTCAAAAATTGAATTGGTTATTATTTTTCCCGTAGAAAATCTCATTCGCGCTGAATAACTTTTTCAAAATAGTATGTGAGCGAAAACCCGAACCCCGCGCTTTAAATTTCTTACCAGAAGGAACTCCGAAATTACTGCAAAGGTATATTGGTCCGCCTAAAGAAATTAATTAGGCACGACATAGGAATATAGTTCATGGTGGTGTGTTGAGATGTAGGCGTGTCCAGTTGTGGATCCACGTGGTTGTCGTAGTGCGGTCCCACAGCCCAAGGAACCGTTTCTCTTCTCAGCGCCGACGGAACTACGCTGCTTACTAAGAGGACGCAAATTCTGAAGCACTATGTCGAACACTTCAGAAGCGTCTTCAACTGCCCGTCTACCATCACTGATGCCGCCACAGACCGGCTGCCTCAAGTGGAAACGAACGCCGACCTCGACTTCCTGCTCTCTCCCCGTGAAACCATTAGGGCTGTGCAGCAACTCTCCAGCGGGAAAGCGCCCGGATTAGACGCGATCCCTGATGAGATCCAAAAGCACAGCGGCCCCAAATTATGAATCACCTGACGGCACTCTTCCAGGAGATGTGGCGCCAAGGACAAGTCCCTCAGGATTTCAAGGACGCCACAATCGTCAACCTCTACGAGCGGAACGAGGCCCGCTAACTCTGTGACAACCACAGAGAGATCTCGCTGCTCCACATCGCTGGAAAAAACTTTGTTCGCGTTCTCCTCGGTCGTCTCAACAGATATCTAGAGCAGGGACTCCTGCCAGAAAGCCGGAGCGGCTTCCGCAGTCATCGCGGCACCGCCGACATGACCTCCGCCGCCTGCCAGCTGAAGGGGAAATGCCAGGAGATGTAAATTCGTCTCTACTCTATCTTCGTGGATCCGACAAAAGCCTTTTACATGGTGGAAAATCATGCAGAAATTCGACTGTCCTTGACGATTCACGCTCGTAATAGATAATCTCCAACATGGTATGATGGCGCGCGTCAGGGACAACGGAACCGTCTCAAAAGCATTCGCAGTGACCGACGGAGTGAAGTAGGACTGCGTCCTCGTGCCTACCCTATTCAGTGTCGTGTTCTCTGCCATGCCAATGGACGCCCGCCATGACGAACGCCCCGTGATCCACATCGCCGACAACTGCGCACTTAACGATTTGGCCGAAGAAGAGATGCAATGCAGCATGGATCTTTTCACCTCCGGCTGCGCCCATTTTGAACTGGCCATCAACACGGCTTATACGGTAGTCAAGCATCAACGGTCACCAAACGCTGAATACAGTGTTCCTCGCATCCACGTCAACGGCATCAAACTGAAGATGATGGACAACTTCAACTACTTATGCAGCACAATATCACGCTGCATCAGAATCGACGAGGAAGTGGCCCACCGGGTCTTCAAAGCCAGCCAAGCCTTCGGTCGAATGCAGAACTCAGCGCGGGATTTACACAGCCTTCACCTGAACACCAAACGGAAGATGTATAAGTTCGTCTTCCTGACAACGCTTCTCTATGGAGCGGAGATTTGAACCGTCTACTCCAACCATGCCAGGAAGCTCAACCACTTCCGTCTCAGCTGCCTTTATAGAGTACCAAAGCTGAGATGGCAGGACCGGATCCCAGATACGGAAGTGCTGGAACGGACCGGAATCCTCCGCATCCGCACCATGTTGACACAACTGCAATTGCGTTGGAGTGGCCACCTCATGAAGATGGACGACGAGCGATTACCCAAATACATATTCTTTGAAGATGTCGCCACAGGTAGTTCTCGACATGGAGGCAAAACGGCTCCACAATGACAATGAAGAACTTTCTGAAACCACTGCAGATCAACCCGAGGGCCTGGAAAGGCCTCACTTGGAACGGGCCGGCCTAGAGAGGAGAAGTGAAAACCGGCTCGACCATTTACGAAGCCAATCGGATCGTCGCCGCCAAAGTCAAAAGGGAGGCTTTCAAGCCACAAGCGTTTTGACTCCTCGGTGCCAAGAATCAACGACTTCTAACATCACCCGGCTGCCAACATACATTCCACGAGCGATCTGACCTCGTAGAATACCTTCCGAAGCAATGCACCCACAACCTGGCAACGTCAACTTCTTCTTCCTCACTCTTCTCTCCGGCAAACGCAGCGACGGCGACCATCCTCGCTTCTGCACATTCAACCACCGCATGTGCCTATTAGGTCACTTGCGCACGCACGGAAACCTGCCGTAAACAACCGTCAGTTATACCATACCATCCCAGGGTGACACCTCACCCTTCTGGGCCTTAAGGACTGTGCTCATATGCTATTCCACGATTCAGCAAGCCATGGCCCTCTTAGCTTGGTGTTCGTTGGCAACTCTCTGGTATGTGGCTCCCTGCCGGTAGATGCGCATGCACAGCCGCTGGGTATATCGGCTGTGTGTATGGTTGCCCAGTGACCTGTGTCATCCTCTCCCCTTTCTGGCCCATTTTTGTGGCTGGTTAAAATCCCGGTCAAGTGTATGTTGTGGACCAGGGGGTTTGTTGGTGGTATTCCTAGGTGCGGGTCCGGCCATGCCAGCCACCCGCGTCCCCTCACACCCCTGGCCTTCCTGACTATGTCTTGACACCGAGCTCAGTTTAGGGAGGGGAGAGTACGGTAGATGCTGAGCAAGTCTACTATCACAATAAACTAATGCACGCGCAAATCACCGTGCCTGCTCTCACCTTACTACGGAGCACACGGTGGGCATCGTCGGACGCGACTGTCATACTTGGGCATACGACCGGAGTTCGTATGGCTAAGGTCAATCGACGAAGACAGATGTATCGATCGGCGTCGCACTCGAGAGGTTGAGTCACACACGTAGGCAGACCGGAGGCGGCAGGGGTAATCGGCGGTGCTAACAACAAAGTCTTCGACAGAGGACGGACTGATTGAAGAAGACCCTTGATTCCTTCTTTTGATGCTGTCTTAAATACAGAGCTGATAAGGGCAGGTCCAAGACCGTGAAACAGTTGAAGCAGGCTATCGTCCGCCGGTGAAATCTAATCCCCGCAGAGGTTTGCATGGCGTTCTCCAAACATTTTCCACGGGGATATTGTTGTGAAAATGTAACCATGGACTACATCCTGCAATTTATTGAAAGAAATCTGTCAAGAGCGTTTTTCAGTGTCACTTTCATATAGAGCAGTTAATAGAGCTGCGTGGCGTAGTGTCATATTGCCGGTAAAAATCCTGGTCCAATATATGTTGTGTACCAGGGGATGTGGTGGGGTGCCTAGGCGTGGGTCCGGTTTTATCAGCCACTTGCGTCCTCTACCTTCTTCAGTATTCTTGATTATGTCTTGACACCGTGCTCAGGCCGGGTAAAGGAGAGGGCGCGGTAGATGCTGTGTAAGTCCACTGCCACTATAAACTAATTCACGCATAAGTCACCGTATGTGTTCTAACCTTGCTGTGGAGCACACGGTGAACATCACGGACAACGACGGTCGAACTGTACAAACTTGTGTATTGCTACTCAATCATTTATAAACGAAATTATATTCTTCGTCTACTTCTTTACGTTAGATGAAATAGCAAGTTGTGGTTTAGCCTGCATTTTTCACGACCATTTGCTGGTACCGTCTTCCTTCGTCCTTATTGTTGTACGTAAATTTGCGCCTTAATATTCTCTGTTTTCTTGGCTGTTCATTGCGTATTCGTTTCAGGATCAGTCGCCAGGTAGTTTTTAACCAGTGAAAAGCACGTATTCTTTCCTGGCAGGTCGCGCGAGTTTCTCTTACGCAACGTCTGAATTTTTGGGGACTTTACCGCTACTTGCCTACTATATTTAATCGAACCTGCAGTGCAAATATGACTTTCTTTTCAATTTGTATGACTCGGAAGCCAATGTCTCCCCCATTGAAATATTGCCGCCATTCCCGTATTACAAGTGGACTTGCGCCACATTTCAGAAGTACGCATATCCGCGCCCAATCAAATTATTACACTAGTCTAGTTTTTAAAATGCCCTAAGGGAAAAAGAGTAATCGCATGGCTCGTGAAATGTATTTCTAAGTCAAACATTGACATTTTTCTTCATAGATGTCTGAGAAAGGCATCTACGGGAGCAAAGGCATTAGCATGTATGCTGCTTCTACAATTTTTCAGACTGGACGTATCATGCATGCTAATACGATGTATTAAATTTCGCATTCTCTGTTGTACACAAAACGCCCAAAATACCAACCTGTCAGTAAGGAGGTCCAGTGGACTCGCTCAAGGACTGGTTCGATGCAGTGTGGACGTCGCCACACTGGGCAAAACCCACGTCGCATAACAAAAACGACTGAAAAATAAGCACCAACCTTCCTATTGAATGGCCACCCTAAGGTAGAGCAGTGGGATTCTAAAGGTACCCTCGTCAACAGAAAAGACAGTGTCATAGATGACCTGTCGCCGAAGAGAAACTCAAAGCCATCTCATCTCAATACGACTCTCTTTACGCAGAGACGACTTTGTTTCCGCCCCCTTAAAAAAAGACAAACAGCCCTAACATGGAAGAGGAGGAGTAATACATATGAGGGCCTGAACACCCTCCTCTCGACAGTGCCGAAGGCAGCCAAATTGACTGCCCTTATTGACTTCGGCGGTCAAGTAGACACGAATTACGTCACTTGGGGGAGGGGGAGAGAATGCTTGGCCATCATGGAGTAGATCAAGGAAGCATCAATGTGGTTCTTTTGTTGCGGACTTGCTAGTAACACAGCATCCGAAGAACACCAGTACTAGCCCTAGTTGCACACGAATGGAAGATCTCTGAAAAAATGAGCAGCATTTTAGACTACATACAGATCCTGGTGGATGAAGATGTCCAACAAGATTGCAACAACCTAGGCAGGAGTTATATCCCCCAATAGTATGACGCCAGTTCTGTGCGAAATGAAAGACAGAGAACAACCTTACTGTGATAGTCGCTCTGTGTACATAAACTCTCAATCCTTCTGCCCGTAGTTTCGCATTTAAGGATTCCGCCCTTGTCTGATTAGCGTGTTCCTACTGGTCAGTGCTGAGCGCCCGCATGGTCAGGCCCTCACGTGAGGTTGATCCCTGAAGGTCGCGCGTAACTCGGCGGTGCTCTAATTGCTAGCTCGCACGCAGGCTTGCTTGGCGAGACTGATCTGCGGGTTTGCGGTTCTTTGTCAGGCGTGACCGTCGGACGACAGGAACGGTGCGTCATGTTCTGGGCCGTACCAACAGCATGTCATCTACATTTTTTTCATTAGTGGACAATGCTTTGACGATGACAGCAGCATTAACAAAGACCGGAAAAAACTGCATCCATAATACCTTCTAGGGAAGCGACACAGTCCCAACTCAAAGCCAATTATTATAATAGCGCCTCAGACTACAACAGATGCTGAATAAGAGGTGCAGTTATTTACTGACTCTCCAGACCGAGGAAATCGAAGGATACAGAAATCAGGGTGAAAGGATGAATTTTGTAGTGGATATCAAAGCAGTCTGCGATTCCCACGCATTTGAACTGCGCCATGCGGGACATCAGTGGCCGGACCTATCGCTGAGAGCTGCTTAAGTTGCCTAACAGCGAACACAGAAAGTTATTTCCAGGTGGCCAGAAAATCTGTGTGTTTCAGGTTGCGCCTACTCCTACTAAGTTCCGCTCCGTCCGCCATTACCCCCTATCAGGATTCCGTTCCGGTCACTGGGATGCTGAGGTCGCAGTCCAGTTGTCGGTCTCACTCCGCATATGCTACTATCCTTAATCCCCAGGTGCGCTACACTGACGCTTCGTTCTCACTTATTAGTTTGCCATTGTAGTTTTATCCTACCCTGCTCCTCAATTTTCCTTCCGAAGTATTTTTCATCCCGATCATTTTTGAGAATGAGGGTCTCCTGAACCTTATAATTTAATTTGTTGCTCTTTCTTCATTGCTTCGTCCGCAGTCAACCGTTTTTTTCGAAAAACTGCTTATTTGGAATTTGTGGATAGTATCATTATTATTTTTACTAAAAGCATCGTATGCGAAAGGGCCAATCGCCGGTGAACATAAAAAACATTGCATACTTGCATAGCACTATTTCTAAATTCTACTGTACATATGACCGTTCATGCAAACCATTACTGTCTACATTGTCCTATTTTACCAATTTACTCAGTGTTAGCTCTGTTTGGATACTGCTCTCTGGGTGTTTGCAAATAAAACTACTATTATATTATTATTTCGGTCTTTGTGAGACAATAATAAGCTACACTTATATCAGGCCTCCTAATGTGAGAAAATTGGTTTGCCAAGACTTTGGAAACATAATATTGAGTAAACCAATTCCCGTTTGTTTTGGAATCTGTTATACTATGGGGGCATTGGAAAACCTATAAAGTCTTGTTAGATGTTTTCTCGTATCAACTGCAGAGAATTCGGAAAGGCTGACTTGTAAGATTAAATAACAATAAGCCTAACATTTTAGCAAGGAAATCAGGAAGGACAAATTCTTCAACAGAATTTTTTACCATCCTCGGAAGGCAAATACTGTGCGCGCAGTTAAAAAGGCCTT